GTTAAACATTATATTTTTCCTACAGTTACTATAAATCATATAAATAATTAGTCTTTCAAACACTGTCAGACACGTTTTTAGGAAAGGTTAAATCCAAGCGTTGAACGAAATGGGGAACGCTCCACCAGCTGATCGTAGTCGTAGTATCTTTAAGTGTTGCCAACTTATTTTTAAGCGTACCCATATTACGTACTAATAAAAGCACACTGTTTTGTGTTGTTTGGTTGCGTGTACTGGAGTGCGGCAAAAAAATAGTGCGGCAAAAGTAAAATGAGTGTAGCAAAAGTAAATGAAGCAATTAGCTACATGACGTATCAGTGCAAGGAAGGCAACTTTGTCTGGTAACTGTAGGAAAAAAGTACTTTGTTCAGGTTTTAGACAACGAGTTAGAAAGAATGAGGAGAATCCCGATGCAATTTGAAAATGTGACATGGTAAATACGCATTGAGATTGTACTTTCACTAAGGGACTGATGCTAGAGTAGTGTTTGTGTCCTGAAGCCTTAAGTTCGGTACTACCATAAGCTTAAGTTCACCTACCAAGTCAAACGGATAGGTACCAGGTTAAATGAAAGCCCCATAATTATTTACTTGTTGTACAGAGAAGTAAGATGTCTTCATATCTTACTTCTCTGAGTTGTTTGTTTCTTATTGGTAAACATAAATGCTCCACTGATTAAAAATATCCAACTTTACTGTGGTATACAATTATCGTTTCACTCATGCAAACCCTTGAACTATTGCCCTAAAACTTACAATTCCAAAAAGCTCATGCATTTTTCAACTCCCAGTCAAAATTCTAAACACGTTTAGAACTAATGAAATAATTGCAAAATAAGCCAAAACAGATGATTGGGGTGGAGTGATTACTGTTAATTACAGACCTAACGCAGTTATACAAACGTTGTTAAACTCTGGGTGTAAAACGACCCCCGCTACGGCTACTATGTAAATGTAGGCTAATGAATGAATACAGAGTCGGTCTCCGCCTGAAGATAGACTTTGAAAAGGTTTCCATGAAAGGTTAAACAGTTTAGAAAACATTTACTAAAACTGTTTGGAAATCCTGCGAAGAGTAGTTAGAGGGACTTTGCACTTATGAAAAATAAAGATTATGAAAGAGCTTTAAGCTCATATACAGTACTACTTGGGCAGTAGTAAATAACGTAACAACGAAAAAACACAAAGAAGAAAGTAACACAATGTTTTGAACAGTTCCTTTTGAAACCTTCCTCAGGCTTAGATGGTCAATTAGTTTAAAATTATTAAAGTAAAATAATTTAAAAACAATAGAACGTAGAATGCAATTATTGTCTATGTGCTTCATAGTTGTTTAAAACTCCATTGCACGTCCACAAGACTAATGATTCGTTTGTCTTCAATATTCAAACAAAATTAAGTCAATTTTTCCTAAGTAGGTATGTTCCATTTGTTCCTGTATACAAAGCCGTCGCACAATCCTTCAACATTCCTTCAACATCAGTGTCTTAATCTAATGCAATCTAAATACAAACAAGCTATTCGATCTTGAGCCAATTAAAAGCTGACTACACAAATATCTGTAGAATAAATAACTATAGTCCATCATCAATAACGTACACTTATAACCCTTTAATACCTGTCAATTAAAAATCAATCTAAAGCCCCGTTTACACGACCCGTTCCCGACCACCCTTTCCCGTCCTGGTCCCGACCGTCCTGGTCCCGACCGTCCTTGTCCCGACCGTCCTTGTCCCGACCGCCCCGTCACCTGATCGACAGAGCGTTGTGTTTACACGACGTTCTCTGCGCGCCTCAGTCCAACCTACATTTGCGGCAGCGATTCAATAACGCAGCTAAGTTTAGCAAGTTAACTCCCAACCACTTAACTAATTCAATTCGAGTAAACGAGGCTGGCAAGAAGCGAGCGGCGAGGCGTAGATGCGATAAAGATAAGCAGAGGAAAATGAAAGGCGATTACCAGGGGATTATAGGCCGTTAACGAGCGTCGCTGCAGTGTGGAATACGGCTGCTGCTTCTGTGTCCTCTCCCTCTCCCACCCTTCCGTACCCTTTGGCCATATCTTGGAAGAGGATTTAACTTGTTTGTTTAAATAAACAGATGTATACAAACGAAGTAATTTTTGTTCCCACCGGTAACACTAGAATGCCTTGAGGAATCAATGAGTGTTAAAACCCAAATTTCAGGAAAACCGAGACTGACATGTTTACATGTTTAAGTAGAAAGTATCTGACACTATTTAATAGTGTCAGATAATTATAATAATAAATAATAATAATAATAAAGAAAACAAATCAAATTTTGATTTGTTCACAATTCTATAATTACTATAAAAAATGTTAAATAATAAAAGATAACACCTAAGCTACATCATATATTACGAACAGTCATGCCCATCTCCATAAGATCAAACCGAGACATGAGTACTGTAATGTGTATTTAAGAAAAAAAATTATAAAAACTACACAAAGTAATAAAATCTAAAACTTTAGAGCAAAATAATTAAATTACACTCAACTGCAGCACCTGTTGAACGCAATGTTGATGCTTTTGTTATATTTAATTGCTCTCTTCTGCGAGTTCATTTTACCACCTTGACATTTAATAATTGAACCGTAGGACCAAATGTACAAAACATACATCTTAAACTTTTCTGATTTAATTGTCCGATAGTGATAGGAATGAAATGCCCATACAATCGTACTTATTGATGACCAGTAGTTTAAATTTATTCATAAGCCATTGGTTTGTACTGGATTCTTCTCCATCACACATATTCCATGAAACCATCCTCCTAAATTAACAATTCATCCCTTGAAAGTAGCTAAATTAGAGTTCATAAACTTGTGGGATTATCAAGCATAAAAGCCTAATAAAAATTCTGCTGTCGAACCGTGGTCTCCGGAGATAATGTTCTGTGCAAGCAAAACAAACCTATGTTGAATTCTACAATGTGAAATTGTAGCTTGTCCCGAAGACGGACGCTGCAACGTATTCAAAACGTCAGCCAGTACTTTTGCCAGTTGAAACGCAACGATGTATTGGTTGAACGCGTTGAACGGCAGTCATAAGAATACGGTGGCATCGTCCTTGTAGCCTACAAAGAGGTCACGAACTGTGGATATTTATTGGCATGCACTGTGGATGCGATACTCCCTGGTGTGGATTAATGTCCGCACTAGTGAGTACTACGACGATCCGCAGTACTATCCTGATAATTAGAACAATTCGTTAATTACAAGGCAAAAATGTGGTTCGGATTCCAATATAAACTGTAGGTCCCTTAGTTGCCATTGGCTGTACGGTACGGGCTATTAATTAACAGCTGTGTCCAAAGAACATGTCTGCCTTGTTCACTAAAAAGACTACTATACAAGATCGCGCCACTCATCCTACACTCATCTTCATTCATACTTGGCTTATAATACCTACATTCACCATTTCATAAAAACCATTTCGTATGGTCACCATTTCAGATAAAAGTATTAAAGACTCCAGAAGACCAAGATACAGTCTAACCATGGAAGCCTTCCTTTTAGAAAAAGGTCTGCAGTTATAAGCGTCTATCAAGCAATTAGGGTGTTGAATTAAGTCATTCTGACACTTTCTCACAAATAGTTCACACTTGTTACAAAAACACGAAGTAAATACAATCAGGCGTACTGCAATCCGCTATATTGTGGACACTAATAGTTTATTAGTGCACACCCCAATCTAATTTTCACATGTTTTCATGTGTCTTCCAAGATTTTCAAAAGGTTATTGAGCTACAACCATTATATTGTTTCCAGTTCCTCTAAAGAACACAGCTTTCGATCTGTGAGAATGCAACGTGGAAAATTCCCATCGTCACCCTTGTGCACTTCACACTTTTTCCATTACTCCAAGTCTAAGCCTAGGTAAGAACCAGGTTATTAGTAAGAGGATAGAATCAGATTAACAGCATACCAGAGGACGAGAGGCGATGAAACCGGCCTGACCAGAGATCGAGCTCGGCCTAGCGCAAGAAATACTTAGTTGTGACTGGATAAAGCGAAATAAATATTGAACTAAAAGTATTGACTTGATCACACTGAAGTTCTATTCATCGTCCTGTCAAAGCACCAAATCGGATTATCGACTATCTTCGAGCGATTTATCATTTATGGAATCTAATACAAAAAACTGTGCTACCAAAAATCGTTGACCAATTGCCAAATAAGGCTAATTTAAGCAGATACTGAGACGTATGTTACCAGCTGAAACATTTCAGCAGCTCCTGATGTTGACATACAATTTGATTAAGAAGAAAGGCATGTTCAGTGTTTTCGAGATTCTTGATGCAAGCGATACAACAAAGAACCATATTATTTTTTTATATTTGTATAGGTACTCCTATACTGTCATTTTGCACACCATTTTTTTATATTTTAGTAAGTAGGTGAGCTTGTATTCCTTGCTGAAATCCAGTAATCTTTTCTCATTCTACAATTCAGTATCATCATTACAACATTCGTAAAAGAAAAAAGACCACAACGTATGTAAAGGCAAAAGAACGGCGAGTTTTGCTAACGTTTTTTGGCAACTAACAATTCCAATGATATTCAAAACTATGAGATTACAGTCTGTATTCCGTAGGGTGGCGAACGGATCTGGGTCGGCCCTCATCTACCCTCGGCGCTCGCAAATGTTTCCACGAAGATTCACCAACAAGCATTCCCACAAAAATTACCAATTTTATTTTATTTTTCTTGAATATATCCATATCTAATATTCCATATAAAGCTGATATAAATTAGTAACCACAACTGAAATAAACGCCAACAAAAGAAAATACTTGCGTCTAGTAACCGTCCGGAATTGAACGAATCACTAGTTCTCGACAGGAAAAGGTCTGTCAATTTACGTTATAAATAACTTGAAAAACTCCGGAGTCCGGATAGCTACGAATGATGTGCTCTAAAATTGGCAACATCGGAAGACGGGGAATGATCGGCATGTCCGGACACGACCGAACTGTACCGGAAACGTCCGAGTGGCGCGCCACATTCCTGACACAATGGTGTAGAGCGACTTCGTCTTCTGGAAACGATGACGTTGTCGGAGATGCAGTTGGTTCACTTTCATTGCTGCATACTGCAGTTTTTCAATTTCTGACGGGTATTTTTATTTGTCATCGAATCACAGGGTAAAAAACATGCAGATTCTATTTAATAATTGCAAAGGATCTTTCTTCTGACCATCAAGAAAAAAAAGTACCCCACGTTTAAAACAAAATATCTATTGTGAAGCCAAAACTAGCCATAGGTGAAGATTGCTTTTTTTGCATCAAAAATGCGTCAAAACAATGTGTTCAGTTCGTTATAGCAGGCCTATGTTACAAAAAACTAGTTTAATGGAAAGCTCAACTGTCCTCGATCATATTCCATGAGATGAATCTCATGATATTAAGATCATGTCAAGTTATATCCCAACATTGGCAGCTTTAGCCAAACCCGTTTTACAAATGATAGGTAAGGTACTGAAACAATACACGGATAAGGATTATTTTTGTTTTTGATTCTAGTCACAAACACTGTCTGAAGTTAGTGTACTACATTGAGGATAAGTTGAATGATCAATCGTCTAACAATTCACAAAATTTGTTATTTAATCACTTTAGTTTAATTGGGTAGGAAGAAAAGACCAGCGAATTAAGTATTTTAAGTATTTCCGAGGTCCATACCAACATGTGCAGCAAGGAAGCAACGAGCTATGTTCAGCGGCTTGTATAAACGGATTTTAATTCCATCACAACCAACATCCAACAGAAAAAATGAGAACTTTGATGCTACTTATCAATTTTGACTGCTCTTAATTTTGTGTTCATCTTCATTACTTGGCGGATACCTGTAATCGTAGCTCCAATGCTTATGTGTGCCATTTCGACAGTTGAGCATCCAATCTAAAGCATGGTTATGTAAAATTAGCACACGAAACTTAAGACTCATTTTCACGATATTGTATGGTGGTCGGACAGGTTACGATCTAACAGCAATGATTGTCGATAATTTCATATCGTCTCCCACCTGAATTTACCGAAGGAGAAACATACAGAGCCCCAAACTGCGGATCCACGTTTCTTCTGACGACAAAAGGCGAGATACATTCCTAGCAAGATGATTTCCTAGAGAACCGACACAAGATGAGAAAACTGCAGGTGGGCCAGGTATCTTGCCATCGCACTCTGTATTTCACATTTTATGGACTCAGAGTCTGCAATCTGCAATTACGGTATTGCAGAGTCGTGCACACTAGCGCTCGTAAACTGCAGCGGCCGTTCAACCAACCACGACCACCAACGCCACCGAGGGACGATCTTCTCTGCAAGCTACACTTTTAATCAGGCAAACTATATCTCGAGGATGACCAGTGATTGAAGAAATCTAGTGGAATGTGCAAAGTGGAGGAATGAAGAAAGACTGTGGGTCAACGAATTCACAGGCAACGTAAATCAAAAGTCATAAATTTTCAAAATCAATTGGAAAATATACATGGGGATTGTTGATAATTGATGAGTGAACACTTTTCATAGGTTTAAGTAAATTCACTTCTAATTAGGCCAAAAATTACTCTGGAGGGTGACAGGCGCTTGAAGAAAGTTGAATATGCAAAGTCGGGCGATGAGCAAAGACCATAGTCAACAAAACGCAGACACCACATTTTGACTGGATCGGAACCGGTGTTTCAATACAAATAACTATGGGAAATTCTAAATCATATTGAGAGAATTTATGAATGAGGGAGGGTGAACAGTTTTCAAAAGTTAAAAGCGAATAGGAAAGATTTAAATTAAGGAATTACGTTGGTTGAGGTTTCCTTGACCGTTGGACAGTACAGTATATACTGCAATTCATTGGCCTCTCATGCCGTTTCGCTTCAAAGAGCAACAGCATAAATTCTCGATTGAACGTTGGTAATATTGCAGTACCTACATACTTAAAAATTTACGTTTTTGGGATTACAACAGTCAGTACCGTTTATAAAAGAAGTGTAGGCATTTGGGAAAAAGTATTTTAGGGCATTATTTTAACAAAAGTCTATCAAATGAACCCAAGGACTGAACAACCCAATTTCTACTGCAAAATATGGGCTTTTTCTTTCATTCTGGAGTCACGAGATAATTTAATTGCACATAACATTAACAGCAAGTAAATCTTTAGCGCGAGAATCAAAGCAATTGAAAAGTTCCACGAAACTGCATTCACCCAGGTGGGAAAGTTGATCGGCAACACTTCACTGTAAAGATTGATCTTACGACTTCCAGTTATGCAGGACGGCAATCGTGAATCATCTCATATCTCCCACGTAGAGTACTGAGAAACGCCATGAAGTCATCGGCAAGTTGAGTTACTCTCGGAACACACCAGTTGGCGGCTGGTGCATTATAGTGTGCAGTGCAACATCAGCACACTATCAATTCATCGATCGTCAGTGAGGTGATAAAGGAAAATAAGTTAAACTTTTCAAGCAGAAAAAGCCTAATCATTATCTAATTTATCTACCGTTGTGATGTTGGAAATAATACACAAAGAACATGCAACAAAACACAAACAAGCTATTTTTACAAACCAAGCAAAGCTCAATAAAGGAGCCTAAAATAAGATACTAAAAAGTGAAAGTCAGACGTGATCATCAGACCATTGCCCCCTCACTGTGGGCAGAATGACCTGGAACGTTTTCAATTCGTTTGGCAATGACTAGTGCAATTGTACAGTGCAATTGTAAAAATTTACAGCTAGAGGTATGACTACTATGGGTAGGAGGGCAAACAATACATACTACGGACCGGTAAGTATTCTTTACAGCTTGTTTGGAAATATTTTCTTACACAAGGCCCAAATGTTGCAGAAATTAACCCCATAACAATATGGGAGTGTCATTGAACATATGTATTTTACGTGGCGATCAGGGCTACTCCCATATTGCCAATGCTGATTTAACGGTTTTGATTGGATCGTTGGATCACACAAGGCCCAGCCACTTCAGACATTCCTATTGTTTCGATCTTCTTTGGCAATTTTGGCTCGGTACACAAGGTCCAACCCAACGTCCAACCAATATAGAACATTCCTATTGTTTCCATCTTGTTTGGCAAATGATGGCTCGGTACACAATGCCCAACGACTATAGACCGTTCCTGTTGTTCCCATCTTGTTTATATAGCAATGCTGGCTTGGTACACAACGCCCAACTAATATAGACCGTTCCTATTGTATCCATCTTGTTTGGCAATGTTGGCTCGGTACACAACGCTCAACCACTATAGACCGTTCTAGAACCGGTATAGAAGGTAAAGGTCCGATCCCATTGTTTCCATATTCATTGGCAATGCAGGTTCGGTACACAAGGCTGAACCACTATAGACCGTTCCCATTGTTTCCATCTTCTTAGGCAATGTTGGCTCGGTACACAAGGCTCAACCACTATAGACCGTTCCCATTGTTTCTATCTTCTTAGGCAATGTTGGCTCGGTACACAAGGCTGAACCACTATAGACCGTTCCTATTGTATCCATCTTGTTTGGCAATGTTGGCTCGGTATACAACGCCCAACCACTATAGACCGTTCATATTGTTTCCACCTTGTTTGGCAATGTTGGCTCGGTACACAAGCTCAACCACTATAGACCGTTCCCATTGTTTCCATCTTCTTAGGCAATGTTGGCTCGGTACACAAGGCTGAACCACTATAGACCGTTCCTATTGTATCCATCTTGTTTGGTAATGTTGGCTCGGTATACAACGCCCAACTACAATAGACCGTTCATATTGTTTTCATCTTGTTTGGCAATGTTGGCTCGGTACACAAGCCCAACTACTATATACCGTTCCTATTGTTTCCATCTTGTTTGGCAATGCTGGCTCGGTACACAAGCACCAGCCTCTATAATTGTTTCCATCTTGTTCGGCAATGCTGGCTCGGTACACAAGGCCCAACCACTATAGACCGTTCCTATTGTTTCCATCTTGTTTGGCAATGCTGGCTCGGTACACAACGCCCAACCACTACAGACCGAGCCTATTGTTTTTATCTTGCTTGGCAATGTTGGCTCGGTACACAACGCCCAACCACTACAGACCGAGCCTATTGTTTTTATCTTGTTCGGCATTGTTGGCTTGGTACACAACGCCCAACTACTATAGACCGTTCCTATTGTTTCCATCTTGTTTGGCAATGTTGGCTCGGTACACAACGCCTAACCACTATAGACCGTTCCTATTGTTTCAATCTTGTTTGGCAATGCTGGCTCGGTACACAACGCCCAACCACTATAGACCGCTCCTATTGATTCAATCTTGTTTGGCAATGTTGGCTCGGTACACAAGGCCCAACCATCTCACGCCGCACAGAGGTGATTGTTTACAGCGGGCCTCGACCGGGGAAACCCCTCGACCGTCTGGCGGAAGCGGCTGCGGCCTTGTGTCTGAGGTCGTCTACCAGAATAGCGACAAGACCGCGACTGGGCAGACTGCGACGTTGCCGCGCGAACTGGCAACACCGCCGCGTCTCCGCCAACTCCCGGCAAAGGGCAAATCAGTTCATTTACATTGGGAGTTATATTAGTGTGCAGTCGGACCTGGAGAAAGAGTAATTGTTGTGGCAGCCAATCAAAGCTACAGTACTGAAAATTTATTGCAACATAATCTATTCTTCTGGGCTTACTTAGTTAGTTGTCACGTTTTCTAAAAAAATCGTCTGATGGATAAATTATCATGCGTTCGGTGATCGGATTAGTAAAATGTTAACGCTATTCAAGTTTACTTTACAAAATTTGTTAAAAGTAGTCTTTGAAAATATTTGAGCAGAACAAGCGATAATGCCGATAATGGAATAACAGCTCCATCACTCAGTGTACTGTAGTTATTTTTCGTCCATAAAGAAATCGAATTACGTATGTAGAAATCATTAATGTAGACAGCAAATATTCCTGATTTAGTACAATCCAGTACAGCCAAAACAAACTCGAATTCTCCTATGCCCGACTATTTCATTCAAACCATTTTTGGCAAATGACTTAATTCCAGTTTTGATTCATATTATGCTGACATTACCACAACAAATGGTAAGTTACATTCAATTATTCACTGATAAAGATATTTGATTATCATAGTTTAATACCTTTTTCCGTCACGTCACACGTCCTACGTCCACCACAATCTCTTAAAAAAAATCTCCAAAAAGTATATAAAAGCCGATTGAAATTAAGACATTACAAAATTATAAAGTATCGTTGTTAGCATATAGCACTACTCAATGGTAGGTAATTTAGATTCAAACACCAGTACTGTACCTCAATCTACGACTTGATAAGATTTTTAGTTTGAACCCCACACAAGACGCCGCGCCGTAGTACTAGCCATCTCTGCCAGGTTGCAGCACTGCTCGCTACGCTCGGCGCATAGCCTCACTTTAAATTACACACAGAGGCATTTATTAGCATTAAGCTGACAAACACGAGAAATTTGATTGTATATTGTTCATGTACAGTCTTTTTGCTGTAATTTATAGTCAACTGACAGATGTTGTGTCTACTTTCCCTGTGTCTCAAATAAATTACGGATGAGACAAGTTCTAACACAACTTTAGGTGCCGTCTTTAACTTTACAATTCATTACGCGGTTTCTGTAAATGTAATAGTGGTTAGTGAATTAAACACTAAGATTTCATATAAGGGATAGTTACAGGATATTGTATTTAAGTAACTAGAATAATTAAAGGTAATCATACTTTCAAAAAAAAAACTTATTGTAAAGTAAATAATTTTTCCTATTACATCAGGTATCTAATGCTAAGGGAAGGAATGCATTTTTATAATTCTGTGAATGGCTTGTGAATTACTGTATATGCGATACATTTAGTTAGTTCAAATCGGTGGGATGT